GTACTTTGAGAGGCAGAGGTGGACAGATCATGAGGTCAGGAGTTTGAGACCAGCCTGGCCAATATAGTGAAATCCCGTCTCTACTAAAAATAAAAAAATTAATCAGGTATGGTGGTGTGCACCTGTAGTCGCAGCTACTCAGGAGGCTGAGGCAGGAGAATGGCCTGAACCTGGGAGGCGGAGGTTGCAGTGAGCTGAGATCACGCCACTGCACTCCAGCCTGGGCAACAGAGTGAGACTCCGTCTCAAACAAAAAAAGTAAATAAAAGACTGAGGTGTTTTTTTGGTTTGTTTATTATACTTTAAGTTCTGGGGTACATGTGCAGCTCTTGCAGGTTTGTTACACAGGTATACACGTGCCATGGTGGTGCTTTGCTGCATCCATCCTCCCTGTCATCTACATTAGGTATTTCTCCTAATGCTATCCCAAGACTGAGAGTTTTTTAAAAGGTCATAATAGAAAAAAATTATGTGTTTTAATTGCTTAAACTTTTTTTGGTATTAAAAAAGTTGAACGTAATGTGGGAAAATGTGAAATGGATGCAGCACTATAAGATTTTCCACAGAAATACGTTATTCACAGTGAAGCACAATGGTAAGGCTCCATTAGCACTGTAGATGGTATCGTACCTGTGGAAAAACCATTTCACCATGAGAGTATTTACAAAAACTAAAGCCACCCCTGTCAGGTTTTGACAGAGCTTAGCTGTATAGGTAGTGAGTGACGTATGCCAAAACCAGTCTTAAATTACCTATGTTGTCAATATGCAGATTTTCTCTATTTAGTATTTAAATGGTGCGTTTACCAATCTGAGTAACTTGAAATGCCATATCATAAAAAGAATCAAATCTACCAAACTGAAAATGTGTGCATATCCAAAGTAGTTTCTTTTCTTGATTTTGGCTAGGTTAACAGAAGTATCTTCACATCTGTAATTTCTGGTAACTTAATGAGAACACATTGAACTTTTGGGTCGCAATAAATTTTCCCATTATGTAAAATATTTTACACACTGGTTGACTCATTGTGAATTGTGACTTGACATGATTCTCTTCCTGTGGAAAATAGAAACACACCTTATTGTAATGACGACTCGAGCCAGTTACAGAATTGTGCTCATGTTACCATGCTGACTGTATGTGCTTTCTGAGGTGGGTTGTCGAAGACTTTGAGGTGGACAGCTGGCACTGGGTGGGAAAGAGGTGGAAAGTTTTGTTAGGTTTAGGGAATGCAGCCTTCTCACTGTCATGTAGTTGCTTATTTTATACATAGTCTTCTTTTTGTTCTTGTGAGTGTTAATGTTGAGTTCACGTGTTTTCTTTGACCTCAAACCTTCTGAAATGTTTCTAGGTCTTAAAGATCCGGGTATGATTTATTTCCCAGTAGGCAGAGCCAATTAAATGATACTTTCTTGGGGGAGAGTGTTGGTAAGTTCCACGGTGACACCTCTCTCTCATGATTAAAAGTGTTATATTTGCACAAATATATCATTTATATTTTACTTTAAAATTAAGATCAATTTTTTGGCTCAAGCCTGTAATCCCAGCACTTTGGGAGGCCGAGGCGGGTGGATCACGAGGTCAAGAGATCAAGACCATCCTGGTCAACATGGTGAAACACCGTCTCTACTAAAAATACAAAAAATTAGCTGGGTATGGTGGCGCGTGCCTGTAATCCCAGCTACTCAGGAGGCTGAGGCAGAATTGCCTGAACCCAGGAGGTGAAGGTTGTGGTGAGCCGAGATCGTGCCATTGCACTCCAGCCTGGGTAACAAGAGAGAAACTCTGTCTCAAAAAAAAAAAAAAAAAAAAGTTGAACTTTTAGATTTGGGAGGGGGGAGTTGACACAGGAATTATGAATTGTTTTGAATAGTGAGAAGCTTATTTAAAATCTTTGGAAGGGCTACCCCAAAAGTAATGCATCTTTTGGCATAGTGGGAACTCCTGTCATAACGTTTTCTTGTTTTTTAATTGAGTGGGTGAGCTGCATCTCATTAAATGGTGTCTGTTGGATGTTTGGCCTTTGGCTTGATCATGTCAGCTTTTAAAAAATAACTTTATTGAAACAGTCACATTGCATACAATTAACCTATTTAAAGTGAGTCCCTGGTTCAAGCCGTTCTCCTGCCTCAGCCTCCCAAGTAGCTGGGATTACAGGCACGTGCCACCATGCCTGGCTAATTTTTGTATATTTAATAGAGACGGGGTATCACCATGTTGGCCAGGCTGGTCTCGATCTCCTGACCTCATGATCCACCTGCCTCAGCCTCCCAAAGTGCTGGAATTACAGACGTGAGCCACCGTGCCCGGCTTCAGTGGTTTTTAGTATATTCACGGGTTGTGAAGCCTACTTTGGACATTCTGTAGAAATGCAGTTAGACAGCATGTGTTTTCTGTACCCAGCAGCTCTCACTCAGCATCATGTTTTCATTCATGTTGTAGCATGTATCAATCAAGGTGGATATTCCACATTGCATGTATTCATTAGTCCGTTGCTAGACATTTGGGTTGTTTCTCCTTTTTGGCTGTTGTGTGGTAATGCTGCTGTGAACATTCATGTGCAGGTTTCTGTGTGGACGTGTGTTTTCATTTCTCTTGGGAATATACTTAGGCGTTTGTATCCTCTTTTGTTGCTTCTTTTACCTTCGGTTAAGGCTCCCATTTATGCTTGTACAGACACTTTGCTACTTGTAACTGGGGCTTGTTTGGCCTTTGTTGCTGACCTAGTGACTTCCTGTGTCATATTTAAAGCCCATGAGACCCTCTGTTGCCTAGAGAGACAGGCAGAATTGCAGTCTCTTTCCCGCCTAAGACCAGATCACATCTGGTGGTCATGACATGGTCTTATCAAATAAGTACCTGTAAGATAATTGGTAAATACGTATGAATCTAAGCCAGATAGATTCTGTGTGTATTTTAGATTGTTTTTCTTCTATCTGCTTCCTCTTGGGGACATCCTTTGTTCTGTGGCCCCAGTGGCACCTAGAGTGACTATGAATGATTTGTCTCTGGTTTCCCTTCAGGCGGAATACTGCTGGCTTGGATTTTTTTCTTGTTAATTTTGGCGACTTAGTTGCCTGTTTGAAGTGATAGGTACCTTCAGATAGTAGTGGTGCTCTTTAGCATTTTAAGCGTCCAAATGAGACCTATTGGGATGTTTCCATAATTTGCATCAAATTCACATAAACGCACATTAATGATATTAGCTAGTCTGCCTGAGCTAAAGTATTAATTTCATTACTAGTGTTTAATAAAGGGGCAGGATTTGCCATGGCCATTCTAGTTACTGGTAAGAGCCCTGTAGGTCTCTCATCATATATTGAATCTGAATTAAGCTTGGAAATATAACTGAGTGCCTTGTGGCTATATTTGGTAAGTCATGCCTTATATTTTGACACAGCTTATGCTTTTTCACACCAGTTGACTCATTGTGAATTATGAGTAGACTGAATGCAGAAAGCAAATGCATTCAGTCCACTGAACATCAACGTTATGCGGTTTGTAGGATAGGTCTTACTCCTTTCTTAGACAAGGAATCTGGGATCCAGAAAGAGTGAGCGGTTGGTTGGGAGGAGTCGGTGCCAGAGGGAGGCAGCGTGCCCTTTCTGCTCTGCCTACGCTGTGAGGACACCAGGCCGTGCTTCACCAGGAGGAGGTTATGCTAAGTCCAAAGCATCAGGCCGCTCAGAGCCAAGCAGCTTTGCTGGAGCACCCACTGGTGCACATGGAAAGTGATTTCTCCTGTTGAAGCCTCGCTGCCACCTCACCCGGAAACGAGACAGTAGGAAGCCACCTCCCTAGGTGTGCGGAGACCTGGCACCCGTGCGCTGAACCTCGCTGTCCTCGGTCAGATGGTTGAGTTGGGCGGCAATTGGAAGGGTCCTGTGGCACGCTCCTCTGGGGACCTTCTGCCACCCCTGGAGGCAGCTCGCGCCCCTGCCCATCTCTCCCCACCAGTGCACACTCCTCCCAGCCCTGGCCCAGCTGCGGGGCTCTCCCCAGTAGGTGCTGGCTGTTCCAGGAGGCATGAGAGTGTTGCTGTGGGACGTGCCGACTGCTCGACATCCCCCAGGGAGAGCCCGCTCAGCCGCGCACGGGCTTCTGGCCGGGCAGATCAGTGGGGAAGAGTTCTCCTACAGCGCTGCTGCCAGCGGGGGCTGGTGACAGTGGCACTGCCATGCAGAACAAGCCTTGATCTCTGACTTGAAAGGCAGCATTCTTCTGGAACTTCTGTGGGGAGTGCCCAGAGTGGCACCTAAATGTTCAGAAGTGCTTGATGAAAGTTCATCTGAGGCTTTTAAACTGCTCGAGTGAGTCTCTCTGAAGCGCACTGATGGCAAAAGGAAACCACCTCGAGCTGCCTGCCTGCACCTTCTCTCCTCGTCTCCCGTGGGCTGTGAGGTGTTCCCTGTCAGGAATTTACGCGGAGGCGTGTCTGCTGTGGCCGAATGTGTTCATTCATTCATAGCTCACGGTGAGAGGGAGGGATGGGGGAGGAAGACTGCAGTATTTCCTTAAAAGTTTTTCCGTAACTCGAATCCCTCCCACCCCCGTGAGGTAACATCATCTTTTCCAGTTGGCGTCAGTGAACTCTGTTTTGGGTATCTACAAAAGCATAAGGGGTGGGTAGGGTGTGGCCGGAGGAGGCTGGTGCCTGGGTGTGAATCCTGGCTCTTCCGCTTGAACTCACTGTGCCTCAGCGTCCTCGTGTGTCGGATGGAGCCGCCTCACAGGAACAAGCAAGTTGTGTGTGTGGAGCAGGTGGCTGACATGCAGCGAGTCCTCCAGGAATGTGGCCGCAGCAGGAGCACTTTGGGCACCACTGCAGATACAGCCCTGACCACGCTGCAGGGGCTTCCGTGCAGGGCCACTGCGCATCCATCACTTCAAGACAGCGTGGGGGCTGCCAGAGGTGGGGGGGCTGGCTGCCAGGGGTGGGAGGCAGTCCGTGAAGACTTCCTGGAGGAGCCTGAGATGAGAAGTAGCGTTAGGTAGCCAGAGACAAGGCAAAGAAGGGCCATTTTCCTCAGAGAACAGCATAACATTGGCAGAGGTCCGACATGTCGTTTCCTATTACAGAATTGGGGAGTGCCCAGTAGGTTCTTTGTTTGTTCATTCATTCAGCCTTTCACCTCACACCTGTTCAGGGTCCGGCTGGGCTCTGGACATGGGGTGGAAGAAAGCCATCTGAGCAGAGGCTGCTTGGACTGTCACCTCTGTCAGGGTTGCCACCAATGCCAGAGGACAGCTGTTACTTATGGGTGGTGGCATGGTGGGGTGGCACAGCACAGAGCTGCCCTGCTGTGCTCACAGCCGGTTCGTCCCCACGGTCACCACGTGCCTTGGGCAAGTGTAGGCCTCAGGTCCCAGACACAGGTTTCTGTCAGGGATGGTGGTGTCCATACCTGCTCCAGTCTGCTGTGAGGGAGGAACGGGCTCCAGCCACAGACATTTACCTTGCAGAGGACCTCCTGCACCTGCTGAGAAATGGGTATGGCCATCTGGAGGATGTTCTCCCCTTGGCCCTCCCTGTTCCAGCCAAGTCCACAGCCTTCAGCTCCTTTTATAAGTATTCTTTTCTCACAGAACCTTGTCCTGGAGCTGCAGATGGGCCCTGGTTCTGCCTCCCATGCAGTGCCGGTCCTCCTCCACCATGCACGATGGTGTGTTTCCCGTTATTCTTCCTCCCAGAGCACTGGCACCCACCCTGGTGGCGGTTCCCCTAGTCAGATTGAGCATCCCTTATCCAAAATGCTTGGGACTAGAAGTGTTTGAGATTCTGATCTTTTTGGAATATTTGAATATGCATAACTGGATATCTTGGGGATGAGACTTCAGTGTAAACACACAGTTCATCTCATATACACCGTATGCACATAGCCTGAAGGTAGTTTTGTGCAGTTTTAAAAATATTTTGTGCACGAAGTAAAGTTTTGACTGTGACCCGTCACGTGAGGTCATTTGGGGAATTTCCTCTTGTGGTATGTAGGGACTCAGAAAGTTTCGGATATGGGGGCAGTTTGGATTTTTGGATTAGGGTTGCTCAACTTGAATATCCGTATATCTACAGCACATGGTCAGTGCTCACTAAACCTATTGCATGAATGAATGAAAACCAAAGGTCATTTAGTAAGCATGTTACTATTTCAGAAGTCTCTTTTCTGAAATCGATTAGATGGTCAACGGTTTAATATTTCAGGTGCTCTGACCACATAATGGTTGTTACCATACTGTGAAGGTAGCTGGGTGTTCAGTGATTGCTGCCCTCAGCGGACCTGGAAGTGCTTGCTGTATTTGCATGTTTTGGAATGGAGATCATGGCTCATTCCCAGGAGCCCCTCAGCAGGGGGTCTGAGCCTGGTGCTAAGCAGCAGATTTGCAGATTCCCGCAGGGCGTACCTGAGCACTGAGGGGGCGTCGTATACACATCACACTGTTCCCGCATCCCTATCCCGCACAGCCGGTGGTCACAGCCGTCATCCAGTAAAACCACAAAGCAGTCAACCTTTAGGAAACAGGTAGGAAATCTAGAAAAAGCCTCAGGTGTTGACAGCATTTTTGAAGGTAGTTAAAAAAATCTTTGTGATTGGGAAAGCCTGCTCCCTGTGCCAGGGAGACTCTCTCCAGCGCTTTTGCTTCTGTGGTTGGTAGCTTTCAGAAAGACTGCAATGCAGCGGTTACCAAAGTCCTTGTTAATATGGAAACAACCCGTGGCGAAGCCTTTTGCTCCCCTTCGCAACTGCTGCCTGCTGCCTGCAGTCTGAAGGAGGAGATAACGAAGGCAGTGATCCTCCGGACCTGGCAGTTTAGTGATTAGAACGTGCGCGATTCTGTGAATGCTGTGGCTGGCGCAGGCATGTCCTGCAGCAGCTCTGTCAAGTTACTGATGCAGTGGGTTTCTTCCCGGGAACGCGAGGCCGAAGATGGCTTTGCAGTTTTTGCACAATAATTTTGTTTTCATCTCTCTGTTCAGGGGACGGAGTATAAGAAGGTAATGGACTTTAGAAATCATGCATATATGTGTTTTAAATGTTGATGAATATCCTTAGTCAAGGTAAAGAATTATGATTGAATAGATCTCTTTTGAACCTAAGAAATAAAACTTTATTTCTTGTTAATGACAGTTTTGACAATTGAAGAGTTACCTTGTTTCATGTTGACAGATGCCCTCTAAGGGAATTATTGAAGGTGTTCTTTGAAGAGATCTGCTTTCTCTTGGATTTGCTAAACATAGTTGAATTTCAGAGATGTAGATACGGATGTTCTGTTTCTTTAACTTAAGCAACGACAGTTTCATTAATCTGGGTGGAACTTTTCATCTTACAAAATCTCAACCACCAGCTGTAGATGATGAATTCTAATCTCCTTAGTTCTTATTTTGTCTTCAGAAGAGCATTTTCGGATGTGTGGAGCTCTGTGCTTATCCATGGGGTGAGCTGGGTGCTACCTCCAGCTGCTGCTCTTTGTTTATCTTAGAAGGGAGTCCAAGAGTCAGAGCTGAGATTTATTTTGCAATGAATTAGTGGCCCCAAACTGTATTAAATGCATTATGGGTGGTAATTTATATGTCCAATGCCAAGAAATATAATGTTGGGGTTACCATGGCAACTGCTTGCATTCTGAAAAGCTTGTGAATGGGTTCTGAACCTTCTGGCATTGGAAGTGAGCTTTTCTAGCTGAGAGCCTGCATTCGCGATTCGTGTAAATAAATTCGGCTTTCCATATGAAGCACATCCTTTCTCTTCGTTTACCAGGGTAGTCCGTTGAGCTCAGTTCTTTCTCTGGTGACGTCTGCCTTGGTCTCTTGCTTCCTGGCAACAGATTATGGTTGAGACATAGTTTTCAACTTCAGGCTGAGGAACTAGCCTGTGTGTGTGATAGCCTGCCACCTCAGTCTGTGGGCTGTGAAGAAGGGGGCTGGCTCATCGTGCCTCCTGAGGGCTAGCCAGTGCATAAGGTCTCCAAAAGCACAGTTGCAGCCCCATGTGCTGGGGGGGGTCCTGGCACAGCTTTCTGTCCATCCAAAGGGTTTGTTTTCAGTAACACACATGCTAGGGCTCTTCCTGGGAGGCAGCCCTGCCTGTTTCTAGGATATCATGGGGATTAGTTTTGGGGATGGACGCCCAGGTTATAAAGACCCATGTTTAAAATGTCAGGCTTGTGAAAATAATAAATGAGGGCCTACTGTCTTCATTGCCAAAGGTCTGTTTGCTGTTGGTTAGAAATATATGTAGCATAGGCTGGGCGTGGTGGCTCATGCCTGTAATCCCAGCCCTTTGAGAGACCAAGGCAGGAGGATTGCTTGAGTCCAGGAATCCAAGACCATTCAGGGTAAAATAGCGAAACCTTATCTCTATAGAAAAATAAAATAAAGAAAACTAGTCTCCTTGTGGATTTAAAACAATGTTGTTGTCTTGATGGCCTGGGACTGAAATGTCTGTGTGATTTCAGGGGCCTGAGGTTGGAAGGCTGGAGCCTGGTGTTGCTGCCAAGGTGGCAGCTCCTAGAGGGCCTGGCTAGGCTCTAGGAGAACGTTTTCACCCTCTGTGGAATTCATTCTCTTTGTTAATAAACATTCAGATCGTAGAGTTTAAATGTCAAGCTTGAAGACAGACTGGCTTTCAGGCACACAGTGGACACGTTGCTGTGGCTCACCTGTAGGCCTCAGTTACGAATCTTTGTCTAATCCAATCCCTTTATTTTACAGATGAGGAAAATGAGGCCCAAAGAAGTGATGCCACTTGGTTAAGGTCCCAGAGCAGGTCAGAATCAGATCTAGGATCAGAAACCTGGCTCCTGGCTCTCTACTCTTCTAAGGACCGCTCTACTGACAAGAGGTTTGCTCTCAGTGCATGTTGTTTTTGCTTTCCTTTTGTCAGAAAGAGGCCTGTAATAACAACAGGCATCTAATGTAGACTGTAATTTAGAATTTTTAAAATTCTTGTCTTCCCTTCCTCTGGTTATTTATTGAATTTCTACTCAATGTGCTGGAGTCACCAACGGGAGGGGCAAAGGGCATCACCTTTGCCCTTAATGCTGTGTGCTGTGATGAGAGATGGGTGCATAGCCGAGCCTGCAGACTGGAATGTCGAGGTAAATTCTGGCTTGACACCTGCATTTCTGCCTGTCTGTGATATTCTGTGTTCTTATAGAGAAGCTGCAGCGCCCAGCAGTTACCCTGGGGCGAATCTGAATCACCACCTATTAAATCAAGATCATGATTCTGTATTTACTAAGGCAGGGCAACATAGTAATTTAGACTCAACTTACTTACAAGTTGCAACTTATTACACGTAATAAGAGGTTCGCCTTACAAGGGTTGAAATACCAATTGATTTTTTTAGCCAGATTCCATTGAACCCTGGTTGTTGATTTTCCAATCTTGAAAGAAGACTGAGATTTTATTGTAGAACTCACTCAGGGTGCCATTGTGTTTTCCTAAGTATTCTCAGTGATTTCTCCCATTCTCCATATTCTTCTCACATGGGACTTTGACAAAGAGGTGTGCCTGGGCTGGGTGTGTGGCCCCCCTCACCCAGCAGTATGGCACAGTGGTGCTATGTGACTTCTGAGCTAGGTCTTTAAAAGGGTGCAGTTTTTGCCTGGATTTCTTTTTGGGATACTTGTTTGCCATCCATACAGTGAGGAAACCCATCTGACCCACACAGGAGGACCACACAGTGAGCAGGGCATTGACATAACAAGGTGACTTCTGTTTTCTGAGTAACCTCAAGCACAGTGTTTAAACTGTGTCCCCGAGCTCAGCAGGTGGAGGTAAAAGATTTTCAAAGAAGAGGATAATGTAGGCTCTTGGTTGACCACATGGTGAAGAGAGGTCTCTGGCACTTCTGAACTGTTGCAGATAGGGCACGGAGTGCTGGGACTTCAGTCAGGCCAGGTCCTGCTGCCTCACTGCCCAGCTCTCCCGGGTGCTCCTGGCCTGCCTTGCTCTCTGGCCCAGTGCTGCCTGCTGCCCTTTCATGGGGTAAGCTGCTTTCTCCCAGCCCCAGCCATCGGTCCTGTTGCTCAGAATGCAAGAGCCTTTCTTGGCTTAGAACTTTAACTCAAAACCCTCAGTTCTTTTTTTTATTTTCTTTTTTTTTTGAGATGGAGTTTTGCTCTTGTTGCCTAGGCTAGAGTGCATTGGCACAATCTCGGCTCACTGCAAACTCCGCCTCCCCAGCTCAAGCAATTCTGCTGCCTCAGCCTCCCAAGTAGCTGGCATTACAGGTACACAGTACCGCACCTGGCTAATTTTTTTTGTTTTTTTTTTTTTTTTTTTTTTTTAGTAGAAATGGGGTTTCACCATGTTGGCCAAGCTGGTCTGCAACTCCTGACCTCAGGTGATCCGCCTGCCTTGGCCTCCCAGAGTGCTGTGATTAGAGGTGGGAGCCACTGCATCCGGCCAACCTTCAGTTATTGATTTGTTTTCCTTCTTCCTTTTTTTGGCCCCAGATTTCGAGAATATCTAATAGTGCTGGGCAGTTTTGCCATTCATCATCAGGGGTAGTTTGGTTTATTATAACTTGCAGCTTCGTACCTTATAAAACAAATGCATTTTTTGCTTTCAGATTTGCTTGTCTAAAAGTTCTATTCATAATAGCAACTTAGCACAAGGCTTCTCATATATGAGTTGATGAAAAGCAGCTCCTGTATCACCTTTAATAAGGATAATTTTGAAGTGTAATTTAATGCCTGGAAGCCAGTTGGTACTGAGATTTAATTTTATACTTGGAAAAGAAGTTTGAGAAGAAAAGTATCCTTTTTTTCCTTAGGTTTATTTTTCTTAGTTGACATATGAAATTGTATATATATTTATCATGTACAACATGATACTTTGAAGTATATATTACGGAAAGGTTAAGGCTAGCAAATGAGCAAGGTAAAGATAAACTCAATAGTTATCTTCTTTGTGGTGAGAACACTTCATATGACTTCCTTTTTTTTTTTTTTAAACATAAAATCTTTTGGAAAAGTCATCTACTTTCTCAGCATTTTTCAAGAAGAAAAGTATCTTTTTAACAAATACGTTTTCTAGGCCCTGGTCCGTAACCCACTCTGTTCAGTTAATATTTATCAAGCACTGGCTGGGCGCAGTGGCTCACGCCTGTAATCCCAGCACTTCAGGAGGCTGAGGCGGGTGGATCACCTGAGGTCAGGAGTTCAAGACCAGCCTGGCCAACATGGTGAAAGCCTGTCTCTACTAAAAATACAAAAATTAGATGGGCATGGTGGTGGGTGACTGTAATCCCAGCTACTTGGGTGGCCAAGGTAGGAGAATTGCTTGCGCCCTGGAGGTGGAGGTTGCAGTGAGCTGAGATTGTGCCACTGCACTCCAGCCTGGGCAACAGAGCTAGACTCCTCTCAAAAAAAAAAAAAAAATTGGGTGTGCCTACAGCCCATAGCAATTTACAGACTCAGTGCGATTCCTGGCAAATTACCAAGGAACTTCTTCACAGAACTAGAAAAACGCTGCTTTAAAATTCGTGTGGACCAAAAAAGAGCCCAAATAGCCAAGGGAGTCTAAGCAGAAGAACAAAGCTGGGGGCATTCTGCTACCCAACTTCAAGCTATACTGTGGGGATGCAGCAACCTCACAGCACGGTACTGGTGCAAAAGCAGACACCAGTGGAACAAAAGAGAGAGCCCAGAAACAAGGCCGCACACCTACAGCCATCTGGTCTTCGTCAAAGCTGACAAAAGCAATGGGGAAAGGACTCCCTGTTCAATCCGTGGTGCTGGGACAACTGGCTAGCCACATGCAGAAGATTGAAACTGACCCCTTCCCTACACCCTGTACAAAAATCAACTCCAAATAGAAGACTCAAGTGTAAAACCCAACATTGTAAAAGCCCTGATGGGCAGCCTCAGTAAATACCATTCTGGACATAGGAACTGACAAAGATTTCATGATGAAAACGCCAAAAGCAATTGCAACAGAAGCAAAAATTGGCAAATGGGATGTAATTAAACTTAAGAGCTTCTATTCAGCAAAAGACACTATTAACAGAGTAAATATACATCCTACAGCATGGAGAACATGTTTGTAAATTATGCATCTGACAAAGGTCTGATATCCAGCATCTATAAGGAACTTAAATTTACAAAAAAAAAAAAAAAAATTAAAAAGCGGGCAAAGGGCTGGGTGTGGTGGCTCACACCTGTAATCCTAGGACTTTGGGAGGCTGAGGCAGGTGGATCACGAGGTCAGGAGATCAAGGCCATCCTGGCCAACACGATGAAACCTCACCTCTACTAAAATTACAAAAATTAGCTGGGTGTGGTGGCAGGCGCCTATAATCCCAGCCATTCGGGAGGCAGAGGCAGGAGGATAGCTTGAATTAGGGGACCGAGATTGTGCCACTGCACTCCAGCCTACGACAGAGCAAGACTTTGTCTCCAAAAAAAAAAAAAAAGTAGGCAAAGGACACACACAAACTCTTTTCCAAAGAAGAATACATGCAGCCAGCAGGTATATGAAAAACAGCCCAAATCACTGACCATTAGAGAAATACAAATCAGAACCACAGTGAGATACCATCTCACACCAGTCAGAATGGCCATTATTAAAAAGCCAGAAATAAGAAGCTGGTGAGGTTGTGGAGAAAAGGGAGCACTTACACACTGCTGGTGGAGTGTAAACTAGTTCAGCCATTGCAGAAAGCAGTATGGTGATTCCTCAGAGAGCTAGAAACAACTACCTTTTGACCCTGCAGTCCCGTTACTGGTTACGTATCCTCAAAGGAGTATAAATCACTCCACCATAAAGATATGTTCATCGCAGCACTATTCACAATAGCAAAGACATGGAATCCACCTGAATGCCTGTCGATGGCAGACTGGATGAAGAAAATTTGGTACATTTATATTATGGAATACAATGCAACTGTAAGAAAGAATGAGATCCTGTCTTTTGCAGGAACATGGTTGGGAGCTGGAGGCCATTATCCTCAGCAAACTAACGCAGGAACAGAAAACCAAGTACTGAACGTTCTCGCTTATAAGTGGGACCTAAGTGGTGAGAACACATGGACGCAAAGAAGGGAACAACAGACAGTGGGGCCTCCTCGAGGGTGGAGGATGGGAGGAGGGAGAGGATCAGGAAAAATAACTATTGGGTTTTAGGCCTCATACCCGGGTTACAAAGTAATCTGTACAACAGACCCTGGTGACAGGAGTTTACCTGTATAACAAACCTGCACATGTACTTCTGAACCCAAAATGAAAGTTAAAATAATTTGGGCATGGTGGCACATGCCTATAATACCAGCACGTTGGTGGGAGGATCACTTGAGGCCGGAGTTTGAGGTTACACTGAGCCGTGATTGTGCCACTGCACTCCATTGTGAGTGACAGAACAAGACCCTGTCTCTAGAATGTATATCTACACGATACATACATTTGGTGGGTGATTTGTAGCAGCCTGTGACCATCTGGGGCAGAGCCGGTGCTGTGTGCAAGGTGTGCTGCTGGCACACAGCCCAGGAGTCTGGGGCTGCTCAGGGCCTGTGCACCTGCTCACTCTGTGCCTGGCTTGTGGATGCCGCTGCCTCACTGAGTCTTTTCCGAAATTGTTTAGCAGCACTGCCACTGCTCTAACCTACATTTAAAGGTTTATTTTCATAATTTTCTGACAGAAAATTTTATTAATGTAGCCGTTTTATTTATATAATGATTGTTGAGAATAGAAAATTTTATGTTCAAGATATTGATTAATTTCTGGAGAAACCTAAGAGACTTGTAGTTGCATAACAAACCTCTTTAAATTCATGGTGTAAAGTACAGTGAATCATTACTGTATTAGGCAGAAGCCAGCATTGCAGAATACAGTTTATTT